GTTTCTGGCCATTTTCATTCTGTAATCGAACCCACAATTGCTGATGCTCCAGATACTCAACTAGTGTCAAGGCGGCCAGTTGTATTGCTTCTTTACTCAGCACAACAGTTTTCAGCTGTGCTAACATAATTTCAAAAGGGTTTTCTAATGATCAATTAGCCTTTTAAAATGATAAACTTGGATTAGCAAACACAACATGCCATTGGAACACAGGACTGATGGTTGCTGATAATGGGCCTCTGTACGCCTATGTAGATATTACATTAAAAATCAGCCGTTTCCAGCTACAATAGCCATTTACAACATTAACAATGTCTACACTGTATTTCTGATCAATTTGATGTTATTTTAATGGACAACAAAATTGTCCCCCAAACTTAAGTGACCCCAAACTTTTGAACGGTAGTGTATGTATATATTCTTAATTCCATTTCTTACTTAGATTTGTGTGTATTGGGTATATGTTGTGAAATTGTTAGATATGACTTGTTAGATACTACTGCACTGTCGGAGCTAGAAGCACAAGCATTTCGTTACACCCGCAATAACATCTGAACACCTGTATGTGACAAATAAAATTTGATTTGAATGTAAACATTTATTTTTTATCAAAATGCATTTTTTGGCAGAAATGCCTTCTGGGACATGTGAACTCCCATGTGCCTTAATAACAAACTTGTATTCCATCCATAAATACGAATACAATTGGTAAATTACGAGCCTAGTTGGTTTAGCCACGGAAAAAGACAGGAACCTTCCCGCTAGCCATGATTGGGTGAGATAATGGATGGGCTGGACATGCCGGGAGATGAGTTTGGATTGGTCTGCCATGTAGCATGTTTCTGTTTTCTCAACAACATTGATGCCCTGAATTTAGCAGGCGCTATCGACAGATCAGTTGGAAAAAGTGATGGTGTCACGTTCGTTGAATGACGGAACAGACCAAGGCGCAGCGTGATATACGTACATGTTTATTAAACTTAATAAACACACGACAAAACAATAAACGAAACGAAACGTGAAGTCCTAAGGTAGATACACAACCAACCATAACCGGAACAAGATCCCACAACTAGACAGTGTCAATAGGCTGCTTAAGTATGGTCCCCAATCAGAGACAACGAGCGACAGCTGCCTCTGATTGGGAACCACACCGGCCAACATAGAACTAGACATACTAGATCCTCATACATAGAACAAACACAACAAGGAATATACACACCCTGACTCAACATATAAGCGTCCCCTGATTCAGGGCGTGACAGTGTACCCCCCCCCCCCCCCCCCAAAGGTGCGGACTCCGACCGCACAACATAAACATAACATGGTAGGGGCCGAGTGGGCATTCCGCCTCGGAGGCGGATCCGGCTCGGGGCGTGACGACCTCTCACTCTCCGCCTCCCTGTTGCGCCCCTGGTCTGGTCTAGACCTCAGTGCGTTGCTTCCCCTCTCCTTCCTCCCACGATTCGCCAGGCCCTGTCTGGACCCTGGTGTGGGAGACCCCGAACCTGGAGAGGGGCTGACGTCATGGTCTGGACTGGAGCCACTGACCGGAGCCAGACTAGGCACCGGTGGAGCGGACTGCTTTGGCTCCGGAGTGGAGCCGCTGACCGGAGCTGGATCAGGCACCGGTGGAGCGGACTTCTCTGGCTCCGGAGTGGAGCCGCTGACCGGAGCTGGATCAGGCACCGGTGGAGCGGACTGCTCTGGCTCCGGAGTGGAGCCGCTGACCGGAGCTGGATCAGGCACCGGTGGAGCGGACTGCTCTGGCTCCGGAGTGGAGCAGCTGACCGGTGCCGGACCAGGCACCGGTGCAACGGGCACGGGCCGTGCCGGACTGGACAAACGCACCACTGGTCTGGTGCGAGGAGCAGGCACGGGCCGGACTAGGAACACGCACCACTGGCTTGGTGCGAGGAGCAGGAACGGGCCGGGCCGGACTGGCGACGCGCACCACTGGCTTGGTGCGAGGAGCAGGAACGGGCCGGGCCGGACTGGCGACGCGCACCACTGGCTTGGTGCGAGGAGCAGGAACGGGCCGGGCCGGACTGGCGACGCGCACCACTGGCTTGGTGCGAGGAGCAGGAACGGGCCGGACCGGACTGTGAAGGCGGACTGGAGGTCTGGAGCGGAGAGCTGGCACAACCCATCCTGGCTGGCTGCCCACTTTCGCACTACACGTGCGGGGCGCTGGCACAGGACGCACTGGGCTGTGCACGCGCACTGGCGATACAGTTTGTAGAACTGGCGCAGGATATGCGGGACCGAGGAGGCATACCAGAGGCCAGGAGCGTTGAGCCGGCACACCCCGTCCTGGCTGGATGCCCATCTTCGCACGGCACGTGCGTGGTGCAAGCACAGGACGTACAGGACTGCCGGCGCACTGGCGACACAGTATGTAGCTCCGCATAACACGGAGCTTGCCCAGTCATACGCCTCTTCGCGTGAGTACGGGGAGTTGGCTCTGCTCTAACCCTAGGCTCCGCCAACCACCCCGTGTGCCCCCCAAAATGTTTTTCTTGGGGCTGCTTCTCTGGCTTCCTCCTCGACCGGCCTCCTCTGTGTTGCCGTTGCTCCTCTCCTGCCTGGGCATCTACCTTAGCCCATGGTCCTTTCCCCGTAAATATCTCCTCCCATGACCACAAATTGGCCACCTGTGACATGGCCATCCGCTCCGCCTGGGCACGCTGCTTGGTCCTCGCTTGGTGGGATCTTCTGTCACGTTCGTTGAATGACGGGACAGACCAAGGCGCAGCGTGATATACGTACATGTTTATTAAACTTAATAAACACACGACAAAACAATAAACGAAACGTGAAGTCCTAAGGTAGATACACAACCAACCTTAACAAGATCCCACAACTAGACAGTGCCAATAGGCTGCTTAAGTATGGTCCCCAATCAGAGACAACGAGCGACAGCCGCCTCTGATTGAGAACCACACCGGCCAACATAGAACTAGACATACTAGATCCTCATACATAGAACAAGCACAACAAGGAATATACACACCCTGACTCAAAATATAAGCGTCCCCTGAGTCAGGGCGTGACAGATGGGCTACTTTCTCCACACACCACGGTCAGTGTGAACCGGAGTGACTTGACAACGCTGGCCAAACAAGATGTAGCTACAAACAAAACTGAGTTAAATGGTTCCAGTCTGCCGTGAAGCGTTCATCTATGTATACGGGTAAGAGTATAGCTACTTTTTCAGATATACGTTTCTAATTGTCAGAAAGTCATTTTTATTGCAAGTTAAAGCGTACTGTTAGTTAGCTAGCAAACGTTACGTGTATGATCTGTGTAGTAATATTATTCTAATCAGAAATCCATTTGCATTGCTAGTTATAGCCTAATGTTAGCTAGCTAACATTGAACCTTGTTAGCTTTAGCTACCTGCAGATTCATACTACAGCTATGACAATGTTTGTATTGGTAGTAGTATGAGTTGGGATTATGCCGGTTCATTGTTTAGCTAGTTACCTAGCTAGCTACATGTCTAAACAAAAAGACTCCACTTCGGCCGGATTATTACATGACCCATCAAATTAGCCAGGTGTGTCTGGGGGTGATTACGGCCATCTATTGTATTTCATGAACATGTGTACATGTCTAGACAATAGTGACCCATCCACTTAGCTAGATGTGGCTGGGGGGTGGTTATAGCATTTCCTTCACATGACCCATCAATTAAGACAAGTGTGTCGGGTTAGCGTCATATAATAATGATACAAATACTTTATCTGGACACTTTATGTTTTGATATTGCTACTATGCAAGAAAAGGATAAGGCTGTAACGTAACAAAATGTGGAAAAAGTCAAGGGGACTGAAAACTTTCCGAATGCACTGTACCATACCGTCTCTACTTTTATGCAATGTAAAAGACACCATTTCAAATTTTGCTACATAAGACCGAATCGAGGCGGTCGGTATAAGACAGACACTTTAAAACAAACTTCCTTTTTATTTATTTCCATGTATGAATCTGTTATTCAATGTGTTTCTATGGGCTAATAGCAGTAAGGCCAAATTCAATGTTTCATCAAATAATTTGTTAATATTTGTTTCGATACCTAAAGGTGTCCTAAAATTCTAAATCAAATCGCTAAATGATCCTTGGTATGACCATCTTAAAACAATTCCATATGTTAGCTTAGTAGAACCCCCCCTGGCTTAGACGTAAGGATTAAAGGATTTTTCACCCAAAGGGGCTTGATATCAATTAATATAATTTCAGTTACATGCAAGTATCTCAGGTAAGGATTCAGACCTTCATTAACATAAAGACACGTCTTCACAGCTGGTCCGCTTGCTTTACAAATGAATTTTGTCTTCACAGTTCAATAATCAACATCAAAACAGCATCACAAGAAGTCCATTCCTCCCCTATTTGTGAGATTACACTAGAAAGCTCCCAGAGTGGCACCCATCTAACCCAGTGTCTTGATGTGGTTCAGGGTCTTATTCATTAGGCAGCAAATGGGAAAAAACTGACTGAAACAGGGAGGGCATACCTGAACGTGTCCATTAAACACTTGCTTTGGTTTACCTTTGCAAAACATTTTGCTACGGTGTGCCCTAATAAATAGAACCCTGGTGTACCTTACAGGGTCTCCCAGGATCTTGTTAAAGAGGCAAAAGACAGAGAGCTGGAAGAGCAGGGCGTCCATCTTGAGGTCGAGGCCAGGCAGTGCAGCATGCGCGTGATGCAGTGGTTGGTGTGGGGGGAGTTCTGGGAGTAGAACCAGAGCAGGAGCAGGTAGGGACGCACAATGTTGGGGTTGGCAAACCTGGCAGGCGGGGCACATTGGACAGTGAAGAGTTAAAACGGTCAGTGATATCAGAGGCCCAATGTAGTTGGGGGCTTATTTATTATAGTTTTAACACGTTATGATTTATTATGATTTTTTCCCAGTTCTTCACATTCAGGACACTGACACGGAGGCCCTGATGATGCAAATCTGAGATCAAGCGTAAACACTGAATTTGTGTCCCTCACCTCTTGATGAAATCCAGAAAGTTGAACTCCGTCTCAGACACTCGTACAGACTCCAGCTCTTCATCCTCCTCCATCCCAGGTTCAGGGGGAGGGGGCCCTGGAAACAAAACAAAGTGTCTCTTCATGGAGAGTATGTGCATCAGCCCAGCATGAACAAATAAAAACGGGTTCTCGTCATCTACCTCATTTTAGTACAAATGAATGTATCTGCTACTGTACATATGTCAGATTAAATCATATTGATCCCATGTTTTATAAAGTACCACAGACAGACGTATGAAAAATGTATGCACTCACTAACTGTAAGTCGCTCTGGATAAGAGCGTCTGCTAAAAAAAAAAAAAAGACTAAAATGACAGACACTCACTGGGCAGGTTGGCTAAGAGGATCTGTTTGAGGAGCTCCAGTTCCTCCTCTGGCTCCACATCAGCTGAACCAAACACATCTCCCTCTGGCCAGACCTCCCTGTGAACAGAAATATATAGAGACACAATTATGACAACCATACCTTTTGTGATTGCAAAGTCAAATGGCCCAAAAAGTAGGCTCAGATCAAGATGCTGTTTTGACCATTGGTGGATCGACCCACGTGGATCTAGGGCACTTTGAGTTTAAGAAAAGTACATTCAAATAAAATAAAAAAGTATTAGTGTTCAATAGCTAATGCATCTACAGTATCCCAAAAGAAGTCTATGGGAGCAGAGTCAGATTGAGTGCGACTGACCTGACGGCTCGTAGCAGGCCCAGAGCCTCAGGGCCCAGTCTGTTGAACAGGGCATCCTGGACACGCACCATGGCCTCAGTCCTCTGCTCCTCCAGGGGAGTGTCTGACACAGCGTTAAACGGCACAGCGCCCTCTGTCAGAGCCTCCGACAACTGCAGCCACACAGATAGGGAGACCCAGATTTAGCACTCGTACACATGCTGACAGCAACACAATAGGGCTGCATCTCAATAGATGACAGTCTTCCTCTACTTGTCTTATGTCCTTCATCTGCGATGATCTGATCTACACATACAATAGGGGAAAGCAATATGGTATTTGGTTATTTGATGTCACCGGCTCAGATCTTTCAGACCAGTCAATATTATGAAGGAAACGAGACAAGGAGAGGAATCCACTTTAGACTACTGAGATGCACCCATGAACTCTTCCCTAGCTGTCTGTTAACAGTCTAACACTACAAGGTGAAGCCATGAGGGCAGCCATGAAACAACCTGGCTCAGCAAATAGAATGGGCCCCCTGCAGTCTGGTGGAGAGTAGACAAGAAAAGCTAGCTGCACCACATGTTAACTGTCCCCTGGCTGTCCCTAAGGCTGATCCACAACAATGACCTTAAAGCCGGTGACCCTCAGCTCCTCTGTCACAGCCCTCCAGGTCTCCTCCAGGGCCTCGGGGGTGGTCTCTGCTGCAGTCAGATTCTTTCGGCCCTTAGACTTCTTACGCTTCGCACGTTTCTTCTGCAGGAGGAGGGAAGCAGAAGAAGCGTTATTCATTAACTATCTAGGGACAAAGGGTTGAGCTGTCAATTGATGTTCGTATGTTCAGGTCAACAACAATCTGTTTTCAGAAACATACATCTTTGGCAAAAGATAGTTTCGCAACTTCGCTATGTGATTAACTATTCCCCCTAATTCCTTCAGCCCATCACCCCTCTAGGGCCCCCTATCTGTCTGTGAATAGAGATTGAGGCTCACCTGCACCACCAGGTTGTTGCGTCCCTTGCAGAAACGCTCCAGCATGCGCAGGAAGAGGTGGGTGGACTCCACCAGGTCCCTGAGGAAGGAACACGGCTGCTTGGTCTCAAACTTCCTCAGCAGAGTCAAGAAGATCTCCCTGTACTCCATCAGGTAGAATATGTTACCTAGAGGGAGAGACAAAGGATTTAGATGTTTAGTTTAGAAAAAGAATGAAAGAGAAAACAAAGAGGAGATTAAACAAGAAAAGAGGAGAAGAAGGGAGAGGAGTCTCACTCTTGATGACGTTGGCGCCCTGTCTGATGTTCTCATCTCAGGAGTGGTCCCTCGTTCACCGTCAGCAGCAGCTCCTGGTACGCCTTCAGAGCCAGGTGCATCCTGGTAGAAAAATGGTATTTCTTACGTTCAAAACCAAAGATATACAGATATTTATAAGCTATCCTCCATGTGGGCCCCAAATGGTCCATTATGATAACATTCCAGTTAGACTTCAAACTTTTGGTGCCAACATGGTGCCCTTAAAACAATAACCCTGTTTGCCACACCCACCTATGGGTCCAGGACGTGGCCTCCTTGCGGTCGGTGAGCATCATCTCGTAGTAGTTGGTGATGTTGCACTCGATGAAGTGGAAGGCACGGATGGACATGGTCTCGGAGACCAGGTCGGCACGGAAACAGTTGCCGTGATTGAAGGCCATGAAGAAGCTGATGGCCCAGAGGTAGTAGGTCTCATCGTGCTGCTGCGCCTGTTCCCTGATCAGCCCCTCCTGTGGAACCAGATAGAAAGACCAGGGGTGCTTTCAGTTCGCTTGAACGTTTGCGGAACGGTTTGTACTGAACGACATGTTTCCCCAAAACGTTCTTGTACGTTCTTGAACAGACTTGGAGATACCATTGCTCCATTCGATGGGTGTGCTGGTGTGGGGCTTGAAGCAATGAGTGGCGTATTTAAAAAGCAGCGGAGCGTTTTGAACCCACATCCCAACCCCTCCCCATTTTTCAACTGGTCGTTTAGTACAGCACCGTTTCCGTTCAATTTAACTTTCTATTGCGTGTTTATGTACTGAACGCAGCCCAGCTGTCAGTGCTGTGGCAAACTGCACTTAGATCAGATCAATTTGCATAGATAGGCCTGAGAGTCTGCAATGTGATTGCTGTGGCTAAACAGGCCTCAAACCACAAGGGCTTTAGTCAATCAAAATGTGGTAACTGAGTTTCTGGGATAAAGTCAAAAAACAACATTTTCAAAATCCAAACATGCCTTCTAGCTATGCAGGAAGAATGTTGCTTTTGGCTGGGCCAGGAAACCCAGTAAATCTATTGAACTGGATCCACAGTGTTACACAGCATTTATTGTTCTTTGTTCTTTTCAATCTTTCAAAATTAGAGTCAGTGTGTGAGTCCCAACAATCTTTACTTTCTCCCTGAAGTGTACACTTGTTCACTTCCCTTCAATAAAAAAAAATATATACTCCCTCTAGCCCATTCCAACATTAATACAATGATTTTAAATTTGTAAGTAATGAACGAGTAGCACACTTCAGGAGGAAGGAGAGATTATTGGGACGCACCCCCTGTCTTGAACATCATGAGGCATCATCCAGTGTGATAGTATTTTTTTGAGTCATCATTAGGTGTTGTGACCCATTCTCCTCACCTTGACCAGGTACATGAGGCGGTTGTAGCAGTTCTCCAGAAAGTCCACACAGAACTCGCGCAGGAATAGGCGCACGTTTAGGGCTGAGCAGCTTTTGCCCTCCGTGTCCCGAGCGTGCAGCTTTCGCTTGGGCACACGTCTCACCGCCTTGCCTTCATCGTGTGTGTAGTTCTTGAACTAGGAGAAAAACACCAAAGATATGTAACAAGGAGGACAACGAGTTACGACAGATTCAACTGCTTGACATTTCAGCTTGTTTTTTCCATTCGTTAAAATAGCTTTGACCTTTGTTTATTTTTGCTTTAAATGCCAACTCCCTGGTAATACGATTTTGGGGCATGGCTCCAGAATTTGACACTCACGTTGTGAAGGCCTCGGTGGTAGATCACGTCTTTCTCTCCGATGGACCTGAGTCCCTGAACCACGTAGGAGCCTCCAAAGCGAGAGTGTCTAAGGAGAGGAAAAGGCATCAGACAATACAAAAGCATGCAAATCACAGGGGTTTTCACCTGGCTTCTCTCTAGAGAATATCTTGTTCTCTTTAACTGCTCTGAGGTCAGTTTGTTTATTCAAATCTACCTCTGCTCTGAGATCAGTGTAGTTACCTGGTTCCTCTCTGGAGGGTGCGGCTGAGTTTCTCCGCCTGCTCTTTCTGTCGTAGCACCTCCAGCTCCTGAACATCTCTCTGTTTCTCCTGAGTTGAACGAGCCTGACCCGCACTCACCAGGAGCTCAGGCGTCTGCAGGGAGGTAGAACATAGAATTAGAATCAATAGAATGGACACTTTCACTAAAAAAGTCATTCTGTGGGCTGTGTATGGGCAGCCATATTGGGTGAAGCAGAAGCTGGAATGTTTGATTAATTCATTCTCAGCCTTTTTGATGCATGCAATTACACGGACAGGTACCTAGTCCTAGATCAGCTACCCTACTCAGATATGTTATGAATATGGGCCCAGGTGTGTTTCTCTCAGGTCTCACCTGGTCTCTGAACATGAGGGAAATGACCTCCAACACATGCATGGTCCACTGCTGCTCGCTCTGCGCAGAGACCAGGAACTTGATCAGGTCGTCCAGACCACTTATGTGGATGGCCCACAGCAGCTTGTCATGCACACTGGCATCATCGTCCACGTTCTACATTGACTCCCGAGTGGTGCAGTGGTCTAAGGCACTGCATCGCAGTGCTAGCTGTGCCACTAGAGATCCTGGTTCGAGTCCAGGCTCTGTCGCAGCCGGCCGCAACCGGGAGACCCATGGGCGGCGCACAATTGGTCCAGCGTTGTCCAAGGTAGGGGAGGGTTTGGCCGGCAGGGATGTGGGTTTGTTTCCCACAGGGGCCAAGTATGAAAAAATAAAATAAAAAATAAACGTATGCATTCACTAACTGTAAGTCGCTCTGGATAAGAGCGTCTGCTAAATGACTAAAATGTAAATGTAATACCAGAGGAGAAAGGAGGGCGGAGGCAGAAAGGATAGAAGATGGAGGAGATAGGGAGAGAAAAAGCGGTGAGAGAGGAAAAGAGGAGAGGCAAGAGAAAGACAGAGGGGGGAGTAGGGAAGGGTAGTAAAATAGACAAGACAACAAGAAAGACAATACAGTGAGTGATTGAGATGATTCAACATGGCAGACATTGAGTGTTGCTCTGATGAGCGAGCCATGGTAATGGACCAAGGCTAAAAACCTCAGCAGGAACTGCTGCTTGGGAATGGGAATTTACTGAATGGGGTCACAGCATAACCGGACACAGTGAACTCTGACCTTCTCCTCGTAGGAGTCAGCGGGGACATGCAGTACATTCCTCTCTATCAGCAGGTTGTCCTCCTCCTGCCTCTGCTCCCAGTCCTGAGAGGGAGAGAGAGAATTATTTAACACACGGCCAATGCTTCTCTCTCTTTTTTTGAAAATTTGTGGAGGACTCCATTCTGTGGTGTGTTGGTCTGAAAGTGCAACACTCACCAGTTTCAGCAGATTGTACAGGGTTTCACTCAGAACTCCAAACACCTTCTCATTGGCAAAGGCCTGAGGAGAGGGAGAGACATAGGGAGAACAGTCAATCATACTGCTCATACCGTAGTCCTCCACTCTTCCCCCCTAGAGTGGGCTCAAATAGATAATCATTACACTGTGTGCACAATTATTAGGCAAGTTGTATGTTTGAGGATTAATTTTATTATTGAACAACTACTCAACCTATTCAAACCTGAATATTTAAGAAAGTAAGTGAGGTTTTGGCTTTCTTTGGATAATATCTATGTGTGCACAATTATTGGGCAACTATTAGTGTGCACAATTATTATGCAACTAAATGAAAAACAAAAAGTTCCATCTCACTTGTTTATTTTCATCTGTTAAAGTGAGAATAATAAACTCAAAATGTACAAATAAACATTTCTGACATTTCAACAACAACAAAAAATCAGTGACCAATATAGCCACCCTTCTTTTCAACCACAGCCTCCCAGACACTGGTCAGAGAGGTGTACTGTTTTCCTTCACCGTAAATCGACCGTTTAAGAAGGGACCACAAGTTCTCAATAAGGTTTAGGTCAGGTGAGAAAGGGGACCATGTCATTATTCTTTCATCTTTAAGGCCTTTACTGGCTAGCCACGCAGTGGAGTACTTCGACGCATGCAATTGAGCATTGTCCTGCATAAAAATCATGGTCTTCTTGAAAGATGCAGACTTTTTCCTGTACCACTGCTTGAAGAAAGGGTCTTCTAAAAACTGGCAGTAGGTTTGGGAGTTGAGTTTGAGTCCATCTTCAACCCGAAAAGGTCCAACTAGCTCATCTTTAATACCAGCCCATACCAGTACCCCACCTCCACCTTGCTGGCGTCTGAGTCGAAGTGGAGCTCCGTGCCCGTTACTGATCCAGCCACGGGCCCATCCATCTGGTCCGTCAAGAGTCACTCTCATCTCATCAGTCCATAAAACCTTTGAAAAATCTGTCTTCAGATATTTCTTGGCCCAGTCTTGATGTTTCAACTTATGTGTCTTGTTCAGTGGTGGTCGGGTTTCTGGCCATGTCTCTGAGCACTGAACACCTTGTACTTCTGGGCACTCCAGGTAGGTTGTAGTTCTGGAATATGACAGCACTGGAGGATAATGGGTTCCTGGTAGCTTCACGTTTGATTCTTCTCAAATCTTTGGCAGTTAATTTGCGTCTTTTTATATCAACACGGTTCTTGCGACCCTGCTGACTATTTGCAACAAAACGTTTGATGGTTCTGTGATCACGCCCCAATATCTTAGCAATTTCAAGAGTGCTGCATCCCTCTGAAATACTTTGTACAATTTTTGACTTTTCAAAGTCAGTTAAATCTCTTTTTTGGCCCATTTTGCCTGAGGAAAAGAAGCTGCCTAATAATTATACACACCTTGATATAGGGTGTTGATCTCCTTAGGCCACACCCACCCTCATTACACAAATACACATCACCTGATATGCTTAAATCCAATAAGCATTCCAGTTTATACAGCTTGGAGTTGGGAAATATGCATAATAATGATGATATGGTCAAAATACTGACTTGCCTAATAATTGTGCACACAGTGTACAGAGGACGTGTCCCAAATGGCACCCTATTCCCTATATATGGGCACTACTTTTGACCAAGGCCCATAGGGCTCTGGTAAAAAGTAGTGCACTATAAAGGGAATATGTTGCCATTTGGGACACAAACATAGTGGCACCACTCCTACCTCCTTATAGGCCTGTAAATAGGACACCACTTGCAGGAAGTGGTCTGACAGTGGGGTCATCTGGGACTTTACCGAAGCAGAGCAGAGCAGGTTGGGTAAGGTTGACCATGAGCCTGTGGGGGAAACAGAGAGACAGCATTAGAACCACACTCCAACCAAAATACAACCCCACAGGATCCAATATCCAACATCCATCCAGGCTTCTTACAATTTGTTTAGGGATGAACTACATATACAGTGAGGGAAAAAAGTATTTGATCCCCTGCTGATTCTGTACGTTTGCCCACTGACAAAGACATGATCAGTCTATAATTTTAATGGTAGGTTTATTTGAACAGTGAGAAACAGAATAACAACAACAAAATCCAGAAAAACGCATGTCAAAAATGTTATAAATTGATTTGCATTTTAATGAGGGAAATAAGTATTTGACCCCTCTGCAAAACATGACTTAGTACTTGGTGGAAAAACCCTTGTTGGCAATCACAGAGGTCAGACGTTTCTTGTAGTTGGCCACCAGGTTTGCACACATCTCAGGAGGGTTTTGTTCCACTCCTCTTTGCAGATCTTCTCCAAGTCATTAAGGTTTCGAGGCTGATGTTTGGCAACTCGAACCTTCAGCTCCCTCCACAGATTTTCTATGGGATTAAGGTCTGGAGACTGGCTAGGCCACTCCAGGACCTTAATGTGCTTCTTCTTGAGCCACTCCTTTGTTGCCTTGGCCGTGTGTTTTGGATCATTGTCATGCTGGAATACCCATCCACGACCCATTTTCAATGCCCTGGCTGAGGGAAGGAGGTTCTCACCCAAGATTTGACGGTACATGGCCCCGTCCATCGTCCCTTTGATGCGGTAAAGTTGTCCTGTCCCCTTAGCAGAAAAACACCCCCAAAGCTTAATGTTTCCACCTCCATGTTTGACGGTGGGGATGGTGTTCTTGGGGTCAGGCAGCATTCCTCCTTCTCCAAACACGGCGAGTTGAGTTGATGCCAAAGAGCTCCATTTTGGTCTCATCTGACCACAATACTTTCACCCAGTTCTCCTCTGAATCATTCAGATGTTCATTGGCAAACTTCAGACGGCCCTGTATATGTGCTTTCTTGAGCAGGGGGACCTTGCGGGCGCTGCAGGATTTCAGTCCTTCATGGAGTAGTGTGTTACCAATTGTTTTCTTGGTGACTATGGTCCCAGCTGCTTTAAGATCATTGACAAGATCCTCCCGTGTAGTTCTGGGCTGATTCCTCACCGTTCTCATGATCATTGCAACTCCACGAGGTGAGATCTTGCATGGAGCCCCAGGCCGAGGGAGATTGACATTTCTTTTGTGTTTCTTCCATTTGCGAATAATCGCACCAACTGTTGTCACCTTCTCACCAAGCTGCTTGCCGATGGTCTTGTAGCCCATTCCAGCCTTGTGTAGGTCTACAATCTTGTCCTTGACATCCTTGGAGAGCTCTTTGGTCTTGGCCATGGTGGAGAGTTTGGAATCTGATTGATTGATTGCTTCTGTGGACAGGTGTCTTTTATACAGGTAACAAGCTGAGATTAGGAGCACTCCCTTTAAGAGTGTGCTCCTAATCTCAGCTCGTTACCTGTATAAAAGACACCTGGGAGCCAGAAATCTTTCTGATTGAGAGGGGGTCAAATACTTATTTCCCTCATTAAAATGCAAATCAATTTATAACATTTTTTACATGCGTTTTTCTGGATTTTTTTGTTGTTATTCTGTCTCTCACTGTTACATTTACATTTTAGTCATTTAGCAGACGCTCTTATCCAGAGCGACTTACAGTTAGTGAATACATATTTTTTTATACTGGCCCCCCGTGGGAATCAAACCCACAACCCTGGCGTTGCAAACGCCATGCTCTATCAACGGAGCTACATCCCTGCCGGCCATTCCCTCCCCTACCCTGGACGACGCTGGGCCAATTGTGCGCCGCCCATGAGTCTCCCGGTCGCGGCCGGCTGCGACAGAGCCTGGATTCGAACCAGGATCTCTAGTGGCACAGTTAGCACTGCGATGCAGTGCCTTAGACCACTGCGCCACTCAGGAGTACCTACCATTAAAATTATAGACTGATCATTTCTTTGTCAGTGGGCAAACGTACAAAATCAGCAGGGGATCAAAAACTTTTTTCCCTCACTGTACACAAGTTAAGTCCTCCATTTTCTAGCCAAGTGTCCCTGTAGGCCTGTACTGAGGCTGTGTAGTGTACCTGATGCAGGCGTCAAACAGGGCCTTGTCCTGGCTATGCTGGGTGATGATGGGCAGCAGGTCGTTCTGGAGGATCTGGCCCGCCCCCAGCTGATGACGGGTGTCCCACGTGTCATCCTCATGCCGCATGTACCGGATCAGGTCCTTCACACTCTCTACAGGGGACACACACAGGGTCAGAGGTTGCACATGCAGTGTGCATAACAGCCCTGTACAGGATTTACATTATTTATTTAGTGCAGTTAGGCCTAGCTCAGATTAATACAAGTAAGTTAAGTTGATTTGATAGTAAATATACTGTAAATCCTCCCTAAACACAGTACTTCACTTCAAGTCTGGGTCCTAGTACACATTACTACCTTCAGCACTGTGTTTATAGCACAGCAAGTGTTGTTAGCCAACGTGTGTAGTAGCTCACCTAGACAGTCAGGTACTTTGTGGTAGGTGTCTCCCTCCAGGTAACCCAGGGCACTGCATGTTGTCAAAAGCTCACAGTTCATCATGTACAAGTCCATATAGCACTAGCCTGCCAGCAGGAGAGGCGGTGCTCAATCTGACAGACTGCAACCAGGAAATGGAAAAAGAGACATTTATAATGAGGTGGGGAAGAAGTCTTTTAATATAGTTCTGGAAAGACTAAAAGTAAAAAACTAATATAAATAACTATAGATGAATATAGTATACCATAAAAACAAGTACTGTATGAGAGAAATTATAGGCTTGTTGGCTAATAATCAGAGCTGAGGTCTTCAGACGTCAGCTCATAGGCCGTTCAAACCTGTAGGAGACAAAGAGAGTGAGACATTGTTATATGGCCTTTACCAGCACTAGCAACAATTTACATCAAATGTTATTACAAAGTCACAAGGAATAATCAAGATAAGTACTAGTGATTTTAGATTTTGTTTATTGGGAATTAACACAGCCCAGAAATTTTTTGGTATCTCATTAACCAATAACTGAGCAACAAGTCTGGAATTGCAATCAAATTTTTTCAGCACTAAAAAATATGCTGTATTGTCACATACACCGGCTAGATGCAGTAAAATGTGTTGTTTTACAGGGTAAGCCATAGTAGAACAGCGCCCCTGGAGCAAATTAGGGTTAAGTGCCTTGTTCACGGTCACAGACTTCTCCCCATTTCAGCTCGGGTATACGAACCAGCGACGTTTCGCTTACTGGCCCAACACTCTAACTGCTAGGCTACCTGCCATTCTAGTTGTCACGCCCTGGCTCTGGGGACTCTTATATGTTGAGCCAGGGTGTGGATTTTCTATGTGTTATTTTCTATGTTTTGTTCTAGTTCGTGTATTTCTATGTTGGCCAGGGTGGTTCCCAATCAGAGGCAGCTGTAGCTTGTTGTCTCTGATTGGGGACCATACTTAGGCAGCCTGTTTGGCACTGTTTATTGTGGGATCTTGTTCCGGAAGGTTTGTGTTCAACCCAGGACTTCACGTATCGTTTGTTTTGGTTCGTGTTGTGTACTGAAATAAAAGAATGTACGCATATCACGCTGCGCCTTGGTCCGCTTCATCTAACGACGATCGTGACACTAGTAGCAGATTGAATGCCAAGACGACAACTTTGCAGCACAGCGAGCATGCTGCTTGGCTGTATGTCTCAATCTCTTCCTCTCAAAACACACACACCTTTACTATGACAAGATCCAAGCGGACAGTTGAGTTGAAAGGCCTACTATCAAATCAAATACCGCAAAGTTATCTGGTCCAGGATTAGCCCAGACTACAGGACCTAGTGACATTAACCATCTGACCTCACCTAATCTGGCCAGCGGGTCACTGAGTTCAGGTAAACAGGCCAGTAACACCATTTGGACAACATGAGCAAATGGTGTGGATGAGAAGCAGCCTTTTGTTTTGTACACAGAACCTCATGTATCCCTGCTCTCCTCTGAATGGTGAGAGAGGGGCTATGGCCATTTTACAGACCTATTTTATTTCAGCCTCTGTGTAACCTGGTCATGTAGGTCAACTGATAATGGTCATATAATTGAAAAAAATATGAACTAGGACTTGTACTTCACAGTTTCATCCTTTTAACACTACACAAGCGTTTGATCAGTCATGGAAATAAGTGCTGAAAACAAATTGTCTCCCTATTTAAAAAGAAGATGGAGAACAAGCTATGAAGGAAAAATACTGGAGTTTTGGTGCAGGTAGAAGCTCTAGTCCTCTAAGCACAAAAAAAAGCAGTGAGACTAGAGGCATTGGGTAATGGCAACCCATGTCATCCATCTATAACGTAACAACTTGTTCAAATTTAAAATGCATGTTTAAAACCTGTAGTGGAAAACTAGGCTATATTTAGAGGGGAGAAAATACACAACGATAGAAGAAATAGCCTACATAATTTCCATATAAATAGATCTGGGCAAATGGCTCTGGTTGTAACTCAAAGCTGTAAACGAAAAGCATCTGTAAGTCATCTCCAATTGCCTTTTACGAACCCGAGTGTGGAAGTCTCCACACTTGTCTCTAGTATATACGGTAGAAAATTCCAAACAGTCCCTTTACAAGTCGGAATGTTGAACAAACCTAATTTGGACTTACTCCACACCTGTTGTCTATGTGTGGTTGGTACTTGTCTCCTGAACCTTGGGACAAAATATCCAAAGGATACTTTTAAACAGACATCAAAACCTGAGGCTCGAGCACAAGACATGTACGTGCACGCGATTCACGCATTCTAACCAGGGGTTTATATTTTGCGCATGTACCAGGAATCTCAAGGGCAGTACCAGCGTTTTAAAAAGTTGGTTTAATAATACTTTCCTGTGGATATTTTTTACTCAAATTTCGAAAGACAAAAGAACCAACCGCACAGACAACAGTTCGAGTAAGTTCAAATGAAGTTTCTTCATCTTTCTGGCTTGTAGAGGTCGTGAGAGGTAACTTTCCACATTTTTGCAGTGTTTTGTTTCAGACTGTATCACAGTCTGATTTATTAGGCAACATCTCCAAGAAGCAGTCAAGGTTTACTTCACGTAGCCTAAATGTTCTCAGGTATGGGTGAAACTAGAAATCCACACCTCAAGTCATTCTAGCAAACCAAGTTCCTTCTGGCATACATTGAGTACCAATGCCTATTCCATGCTTCCATTAGCCTACAACCTCAATAAGGCGTAAAGTAAATCGGGTGGATTTAGGCTTAACTGTTTAGGTGAAAATGAACTGTATAAAACGAATAACCTAGCCCAATAATATTTAAATCAAGAGAAAAAAGTATTTAGTCAGCCACCAATTGTGAAAGTTCTCCCACTTAAAAAGATGAGAGAGGCCTGTAATTTTCATCATAGGTACACGTCAACTATGACAGACAAATTGAGAATTTTTTTTCCAGAAAATCACATTGTAGGATTTTTAATGAATTTATTTGCAAATTATGGTGGAAAATAAGTATTTGGTCACCTACAAACAAGCAAGATTTCTGGCTCTCACAGACCTGTAACTTATTCTTTAAGAGGCTCCTCTGTCCTCCACTCGTTACCTGTATTAATGGCACCTGTTTGAACTTGTTATCAGTATAAAAGACACATGTCCACAACCTCAAACAGTCACACTCCAAACTCCACTATGGCCAAGACCAAAGAGCTGTCAAAGGACACCAGAAACAAAATTGTAGACCTGCACCAGGCTGGGAAGACTGAATCTGCAATAGGTAAGCAGCTTGGTTTGAAGAAATCAACTGTGGGAGCAATTATTAGGAAATGGAAGACATACAAGACCACTGATAATCTCCCTCGATCTGGGGCTCCACGCAAGATCTCACCCCGTGGGGTCAAAATGATCACAAGAACGGTGAGCAAAAATCCCAGAACCACACGGGGGGACCTAGTGAATGACCTGCAGAGAGCTGGGACCAAAGTAACAAAGCCTACCATCAGTAACACACTACGCCGCCAGGGACTCAAATCCTGCAGTGCCAGACGTGTCCCCCTGCTTAAGCCAGTACATGTCCAGGCCCGTCTGAAGTTTGCTAGAGTGCATTTGGATGATCCAGAAGAGGATTGGGAGAATGTCATATGGTCAGATGAAACCAAAATAGAACTTTTTGGTAAAAACTCAACTCGTCGTGTTTGGAGGACAAAGAATGCTGAGTTGCATCCAAAGAACACCATACCTACTGTGAAGCATGGGGGTGGAAACATCATGCTTTGGGGCTGTTTTTCTGCAAAGGGACCAGGACGACTGATCCGTGTAAAGGAAAGAATGAATGGGGCCATGTATCGTGAGATTTTGAGTGAAAACCTCCTTCCATCAGCAAGGGCATTGAAGATGAAACGTGGCTGGGTCTTTCAGCATGACAATGATCCCAAACACACACCCCAGGCAACGAAGGAGTGGCTTCGTAAGAAGCATTTCAAGGTCCTGGAGTGGCCTAGCCAGTCTCCAGATCTCAACCCCATAGAAAATCTTTGGAGGGAGTTGAAAGTCCGTGTTGCCCAGCGACAGCCCCAAAACATCACTGCTCTAGAGGAGATCTGCATGGAGGAATGGGCCAAAATACCAGCAACAGTGTGTGAAAACCTTGTGAAGACTTACAGAAAACGTTTGACCTGTGTCATTGCCAACAAATGGTATATAACAAAGTATTGAGAAACTTTTGTTATTGACCAAATAAATGTTCCACCATAATTTGCAAATAAACTCATTAAAAACCCTACAATGTGATTTTCTGGATTTTTTCCTCATTTTGTCTGTCATAGTTGACGTGTACCTATGATGAAAATTACAGGCCTCTCTCATCTTTTTAAGTGGGAGAACTTGCACAATTGGTGGCTGACTAAATACTTTTTTTCCCCACTGTATATGACCAACAGATGCATATCGGTATCCCAGTCATGTGAAATCCATAGATTAGGGCCTAATGAATTTATTTCAATTGACTGATTTCCTTATATGAACCGTAACTCAGTAAAATCTTTGAAATTGTTGCATGTCGCGTTTATATTTTTGTTCAGTGTACGATTGGTGTCATGGCGCTTAACATCACCACCTTTCACGAGGACTACGGACTCACTGCATATCATGCACATTGGTTTTGTGCTGGTTGCGGGGTGAATTAATGCATACTTTTCCGTCCACTCGTCTTTGAATGTCCGGTTTTCGCCGTCAGCTTCTTTTAATTTTTTTAACAAGCCATATTAACTAAGATACTGGTAACTAAGCTCCTATTTCTGATATTAACAGTTGAACCGCGGTGAAATCTTTGTTTCTTTCTGCCTGCTTGTACCGAGGAGGATATTTGCATTTATGTGATTGGGTAAGACGCGGCCTCTTGTATTTGCATATAACCACGGGATTGGATTAGACAGGACATTAGTAGAGGTGGGGGTTGCTTCGAGAGAGAGAAACAGAGGTTGCTGAGTTAGTGGTCGCGGCGCCCGGTTGATTTTTGAAAGCTGTCTTAAAAATAATTAACTTTGATATAACTAAATGCGATGTTCGGTCCATATTGACCCTTCTCTGTGTCCGGACCCGGACCACCAGTTGCGTTTGGCTGACCTACAGCATGGTCAAGCAAGATAATGTTTGACATTTTCGGACGACTAAACAACTATTGATTTAGAACTACGGAGAGTTATCGCAAGTCGCAAAGATAACACGAGCTGCCTCCACTATTCCAACACCATTTCACCATCATCAAATTACCTATGCTTAGTCTAATACAGTGACAACTAAAAGATACCAAAAACAATTTAGTCCAATCAACGTGAGCTAAATATGTGGCTGTCCACGATTCTGATGTCTGTGTGTGTGTGCGCGTTCATGCAAGTAGAAAAAACATGTTGACTCACCCTACTTGTAGATTAACGCCAATGCCATCCTCTTTTTCGTGTTGACAAAACGGTCTATGACTGTCATA